CCCTACTCTTCAGGAGGCTGAGGCGAGGGGATTGCTTGAGTTTACAAGTTCAAGGCCACTCCGGAGCAACAGCAAGAACCTATCTCTAAGTCAAGGGAAAGGATAAGAATGATAGCATGTGTTCATGTGACCACTTGCTTTTAGTAATAAACACTTTTAAAGCAAGGACACCAGCCTTCAAAGCCATCCCCATTAAATATTTTATAAAAAAAAAAAAAAAAAACCAAGCCAAAAATAAACACTATCCCGTCTACAAGCCGCATTGCTTTCAAGAAAAGAAAGATACAGTTGGGATACATGCCCAGAATTCCAGCATTTGGGAAGCAGGGGCAACAGAATACTGAGTTTGAAGCTCTCGGACAGAGAGGAAGAGAGAAATGGAAGAAATGTTAGATCAAAATGTAAATAAGTAAGATTCCTAGGTACAAAGAGAACATGTTTTCAGAGTAGGCCTACTGTGTGCAGGTAGCTCTCCTAGCTTTCCCAGACACTGAAGGCTGAAAGTCTTGCTGCCCTGCAGAGCTCTGTGTGAAGACGTGAAAAGGACGGCTTATTCTACGGGCACACCCAGACTCTGATCTTTTACAAGGGACTTCCTGGAAAATCAAATGAGCCACCGCCTGGCATTTTCCTTCCTGGACTGACCACTAAGTGTCTGTGGTCAGCAGGCCATTGGTCATCACTGCAAGTGACTAGTATGGAGGTGAAGGTGGAGGCTGCAAGCCATCCACATCTGGATTAGCAATGACTCACTTCATTGTTCGTTCTTTGTCCTCACCGTGGAATCAACTCTAGTGACAGCACATTAATGCCCCTCGCAACGCAGCACACCGCTGCCGGCCGCACCGCTGCCCAATGCTACGCAGCGCACTGATGTCCGTCGTTATACAGCACACCAAAGAACTCACCAAAATGCCGTGAACAACTTAGACTCAAAGTATTTGTGACAGCACCCTCTACCAAATAAAGAAAATGATGTTGGGGCTGGAGAGATGGCTCAGAGGTTAAGAGCACTGACTGCTCTTCCAAAGGTCCTGAGTTCAATTCCCAGCAACCACATGGTGGCTCACAACCATCTATGAGATCTGGTCCCTCTTCTGGCCTGCAGGCATACAGAACATTGTATACATAATAAATAAATTAATTAATTAATTTAAAAAAAGAAAATGATGTTTTCAACCCATTTTCAACTTTAGGGTTTTTTTTATATGTTTATTTACTTACTCTTCTTTTTTAAAGGATTTACTTATTCTACTTTTATAATAAATCCTCATTATAGTTCACTATTAGATCCAGAAAGCTCTTGTTTGTTTCTGTTTGTTTTTTAAATCATCTCACATGGGCTGGAGGGATGGCTCAGTGCTTAAGTGTGCTTCAAGGACCCAAGGTCAGTTCACAACATCCCTTCCAGGCAGCTCCCTGCCATCTGTAACTCTAGCTCCAGGGGATCTGGTACCCTCTTCCGGCCTCTATAGGCATCCGTGTTTGCACAATCTTATATAAGCACATATAAAATCTTTTTTAAACCCTCTTACATATTTACAACCGTGACTAGCATTTCTTTCCTGCCTTTTCCCACATAAATTTTATTCTGCTTCACACCTAAATATTATTTTAGCTATAAAACATCCCATTGTATAAATATGCTAGAATTCACACATCCCTCTCTCTGGTTAGATGCTGTCTCATTTTCAATTGTTTGTTATGTATTACACTTTTTGTTTGTTTGTTTTTGCTTTTTCCAGACAGGGTTTCTCTGTGTAACAGCTCTGGTTGTCCTGGAACTCGCTTTGTAGACCAGGCTAGCCTCGAACTCACAGAGACTCACCTGCCTCTGCCTCTTGAATGTTGGAATATGCATTAAACTTTAGAGAGCTATTTTCTGTATATCAAGCATTTCCTTTAAAAACAGATGTGTCAAGTTAAAATTCCTCTTGGTGTGACTGCTCAGGTAGAAAAATCATTCTAAAGTTTTTCATAATGGCTCTGTCTGAGAGTTCACGTTCGTTTGGCGTTAAATTCTGACATCTCATTTGTCATACTAAAAAGCCATTCTGCCACCATCTTGGATTCTTCCCCAGGACTTTGCTTACTCTGGGCTATCCTTGCCTCCCTCATCCTCCTGCCTCAGTAGCAGAGCTAGGCTCACCTTCCGAGGTATCAAGTTCACTTTCTGCTGCTGTGATAAAACACTGGCCAAAAGCAGCTTGGGAAGGACAGGGGTTGTTGGCCTATGTGTCCCAATCACAGACCATCACTGAAGGAAGCCAGGGCAGAAACACAAGCCGGAGCTGAAGCAGAGACTGTGGTGGAATGCTGCCTACCAGCTTGCTCCCCACAGTTTGCCTACCTTGCTCTTGTAAACAACTCAGGGCCATAAGCCTAGGGGTGGGTAGCACCTCCCACAGTGGGCTGTGTCCTCCCATATCAATCAAAATCAAAACAATGCCCCCACAGATTTAATCTTCAGACCAATCTGATGAAGGCACTTTTTCAGGGGAGGGTTCCCCTTCTTAGATAACCCTGGCTCCCAGTCAACAACACAGTGATCAGCACCCACCTTACACCATCTCACTGTTGGGGGTTCGATTTATATTCTCTTTTGTTTCTGATTATTTTTATTCACCCACCAAACGTGTCCTGACACACTAGGCTCTATTAACACTGCTTTTCAAAACATGTCAGCCATATTTATTTTCCTTGGCTGTTCTTTGGAATATGAGCATTTCAGGGACTTAGGACTCATTTGACTAACTGCCCCCTCCCCCTTCTTTAATACCTAGTCGTCCTGTGATCAACTTTCTAACCATTGTTTTTGCGGGAGGCATTTTGTTTTGCTTTAGAATGACCTGCAAGTTCCTGGTCAAACTCAGATCTCACTGAGGGTGTTCTCTATGAAATCCCTTTTACAGAGGAGTGCCCAGCCATCTCTGCTCTCCAGTCCTTAGCACAAAACAGACAACTTGATTTTTTTTTCCCACGGCTTTGACACCTATTCTGAGGAGGTGTCTCAATATTGAGCTGAGGCTGGCCTCCATCTCTGGATGCTCCTGGCTCAGCATCCCCCTGGATGCTGGAACTTCAGATGTCCTCCACCACATCCAGATCTGGATGGTTTTTAAAGGAGTTCAAAATCACGCTTTGCTGGTTCCTGTTTTGACCCCTTGCATCGTTTTATTTAATTCTATCACATGAAAAGATTTAGGTCAAACATACAAATCTAATTGCTTGCTCACTGGTGCAAATTTCAATAATACACACATGCACTACAAATACGATGCACAACCATATATATAGTATTGTATATATAAATATGTATGCATCGAATCATCAAAATAAAAACAGTAAAAGCAAACCCAACTGGCTGCTTCCACATTTTTCTACTCTCGTTAGTTTACTGTTCTCAGTCAGAACAGCACTGCACCTAAGGAAGCAACTTTAGAAAATGAAGAGGAGGAGGAGGAATCCAAATTGAAAACCCAGATCTGAACACAGCAGTGTACACTTCCAATCACAGTGCACAGGAGTCTGAGGCAGGAAGACCTTAAAGTCGGAGGCCAGCCCGGGCAGCTAAAGATGACCCTCTCTGAAAAAAGGAATAACTAAAGCCCAATCATAGGCATCTTAGAGTGCTTGAATTGTGGTTCCGACCATGAAAAGATTACATTATGGGACTAAAGCGTGAGATAAGGAATGTGGGCAGCCAACATCCCCTTCCAAGATCATCTCCCCCTTGCTTTACTCCAGATAGACACATGTCTGGCCAATTCCTACTCCTGAGGTTGGTGAGACCTAAGATCCTGCCCCATCGCCTGCCTTGGGGATGTAGGCACTGCACTGTTCTCCAAGTGACAGACTGAATCGCAAGCATGGATTCTATGGTATACAGGGATCCTATTGTTTGGGTTCAGGCGTCACCCCAGCCCCCTGGTACCCCTATATCAAAGGAGTCTGGATGTTTGGTTGGAGGCTTTACCCAGCCCCTGGCATCCATGTGTCCCAGGAGTCTGGAATGTTTGGGTGGAACTGGGAGTTGCTGCAGTCTAGACTCCACCAGCCTGCCAAATGGTGACCCCTCCCCAGAGAGGGTCAAGACCACTCCCGCAGGCTATTTAAACTGCCCCCCCACAGAGAACGATCATGTGGTCTTCCAGGTTCTCCTTTCCCCTCTTTATGGTTTCCTGGTCTTCCCCTAGGAGCTCTGTCATCCATTAAACCTGGGCTTTTCCCAATTCGGTTTGATTTGGTCTGATTTGAATTACCGCATCAGCGGAGAGGTTTGTTGGGCTATAAATCTTTATACTTATAACTTGAATCGATGATCAGAGTTTCAACAAACTCTTGTCCAACTCACTTGGACAAGAAATAAGTTATTACACCTCACTCTCTGAGGGGCCTTGCCTTCTAGCTTCTCTCAGACACATACAAGTCCCTGGATACCAGAACCCCTTATGTGGAGCGGTATCAGTTCTGCATGTGGCCAACATCTATCCTCATCTGCTTGTGTTCCAACTGAACCTAGGGCACTGCACACGCTGTGCGAGTGTTCTAATGAGGGACTGGTAACACAGGCTCAGCCATTTCTTTTTGCAATATGAATACAAGATCTTACTAAATTTTCACCTTGGACTCACGGCCCAGATAGGCCTTGAACTCGCAACCTTCTGCCCCAGCCTCCAGGTGCCTGAGTTCACAGGCCCTGAGCCCCCAGGTCCAGCTTTCCATGTTCTGTAAATCATCTCTAGATCGTTTACAATAACTAATTCCATGTCAGTGTTGTGTAAATAGTCATTGTGCTGCATTGTTTAGGGGATCGGGACAAGAGAAAAGGTCTGGACCTGTTCTGTACGGTGCAAGGTTCTTCCACCGTTTTCCGGTTCGGTGGAATTGTGTGTGTGGAATCTGCAGATGACCTCTCTTTACAGTTGTTATTCCTGACTGAAGACGGCATAGCGTGTGTTAACACAGGAACATGGTTTGCCTTGAAGCAAGAAACTCACCAAGTGGTGTAGGACGGACGGGAGGAGCCGTGTTTTCCCTCTTCTCCGTTCTCAGCTTCTCACTGTTGAGCCGCACGAGTGAACCACCTATTCAGGAAGGAAACTGTATTTTAGCATTTTTAAAAGCAATTCCACGGGAAATTCTGGATGCTCAGCCAACGTGAATTCAAATTCATCTGCTTCTCAGGAAAGTGGGAGATGGGCACAGGGAGACATTTCCCTTAAATAAGCTAGCTAAGGGAACACACCTTCACGTAGTTACCTTCTAGGGACATTATACGTTTGCTATAACATTTCTTCAGCCCTATGACTTTTCTCTGGGGCTAAGGGCTCAGAGAGCTTACCCCACTTCATAACCAAGTGGAAAATTCTCCGTGTACACCCTCTAAGTCAAGTCCGTATGGCTGGAAGCAGGAAGGAAAACACCAAGAGAATATCCATAGTAACTCCACTCCAGAATTCTGAGACTCCAGTCTGTTGGCGCTGTAATTGCTCTATCAGTGACATGAAAGTTGGTGTTTTAGATCGACATAGAAGGAACGGCAACTAAAATCTGGAACAGAGAGAAAGAGAGAGGGAGGGAGGGAGGGAGAGAGAGAGAGAGAGAGAGAGAGAGAGAGCGCAGAGGGGTGACCTAATGGCTAACCCTACTAGCAAATATTAGCTTGCCTCTGACCTGAACCTGTGCTGACTCAGAGATCCTCACTGTGCACTCACAGGTCCTCACTGCCTCCCATTCTTCACACAGCTTGGTCTGATTTGGCTCAGTGTCTGTCTGAAAGCAATCTTTGAATTTGTAACCATTTAATTAATGCTCTTCCTTAAGCCTGTGAACCTTATCTGGTTTCTGACCATTCATCAGTGGCCATCGTGGGCCAGTATGTTCCACCTGTTGAAACTTCCTCTGTTGACTTGTGATGTCCTTCTGCATGGGCACTGCTGTCATCCTGTCTCTCTCCTCACCATCTCTGTTGGCCTTTGCTCATGCCTACGAGGACCAGCATGCTGGGCTTATGAGAGAGGATCGGAAACCGGCATTCCAGGCTCCACAGAACCTGCAAGCTGCCTCCTGTTGCCCAAGGCATCTTGACAAAAGTTCAGAGTGTGCATCTGCGGAAGCACAGCCCACCAGTGTAGGTAGGCTCCAAATCCATTGTCCACAGAGGCACAGCAGTAGTAGGTGCATGGGGACCAATATCAGAGCAGGGAAGTGGAGTCCTCAAAGCACCCTGTGGGTATTCCCAACATGTGCCCATCACAGGGCCTAAACAGCAGTGGGAATGACCCCCCAAAACAACAACACCCAAGGAACACATGAACTTGAACAATAGACCAGCAGGAACGAGGCAGATTCCAGGATCCAGCGTCCAGCCAATGTGGCTACAGATCCAGCTCCAGTAGCAACACATACAATACTGTACAGAAAACTGAAGAAGACACCCAGGCGTGCAGGCCCAGAAAAGACTGAGGGTGGGGATCAGGGTGACTTGCCTGCCCCCTGCCAGGCTTGAAACGGTTTGTCACCTGCCAGTTGATGATTGTACAGCTGCCATCAACAACAGGTTGTGTACCTGTGTCCACAACAAGCATGGGTCAAGAACCAAGACACTAAGCTAGGCCTGCCAGGTAAGAGCAGGGGCAGCTGCGAAGAACAGGGTTGAAAAAAAAAAGGAAATGACAGCAAAACTCCCGTTACACCCCCACCACTGAAGCCAGCAGAGGCGAGCATGTCCACCACTGCCTCCCCCACCAGGCTGCCCCTCGACTTCACCATTCCCTTTCCAGCCCTCTGGCCAATTCCATGTTCCTTGAAGTAGGTATAGGGCCATTCCAGGGCCCTGAAGGCTCCTGCCCTCAGCACTTCCTCCCACCATTTTCACTCAAATGCCCCAGCAGTTCCTACCAAAGTATCATTGCAAATCCCCCTTCACGACCCCCAGAACTTTCTCCTTTCCTTGCTGTTTTTCGTAGCACGCGTGACACTGGCGTTCTGTGTGTTTTTGTTTGCTGTCTCTGTCACCGGAAGACACGCGCTGAAAGCCCAGAAAGGCCCAAGTAACTGCAGAAGGAAACAACGTCGCTAGCAGAGCATACCCTTGGGTCACTTCCCCACCTGCCATGACACCACTGTCGCTTAGGACCAGACCAGACCGGACACCTTCCTTCTGATTTCCAACTTCTTTAGTCTCCCCTTTCCCCAGACTTACGCCATATTGTCTACTCCCCATTAAAGTCCAAACCAATTATCACTTCACCTCACTTGGACTGCTAAGAGGATTAAACGAGCTAACTCACCCTCAGGAGAGCACTAGGCCAGTGGCTTGGCCTTTCTTACATGCCATGTCCAATAAATCACGGCCACTGTAATTACTTGGGAGATGTGTGTGTGTGTGTGTGTGTGTGTGTGTGTGTGTGTGTGTGATGATGATGATGATGATGATGATGATGATGATGGTGAAGGTGATTCTAGAGATCAAACTAGGGTCTTCAATACATATTTTTAGTAATGATTTGTCAACCGCTTAAAACAAAACCAAAAGTTCACCTTTTAAACATCCAGTGAAAAGCCCCTAGAACCTCTGTTTAAACAGTGATTCCCAGCCATCCTTGTTCCAGGGCTGACCTGGCATGCAAACACGGCGAACCCTTGAAAACAGCATATATAATAGGGACTGTGCTCCAGCACAAATACCAAAGCCAAAATACTATATAAAAGATCAAACAAATATTGACTCAAAGAATTTTCCCCAAGGCAACTGTTATAGTCTTATCTTGAATAGAATGTTTGCACAGTTAATTAAGTACTGCTGTGGACTCAGCAAGATCCCGGGCAGCCCCTGCCAAGCTGAGCTCCACAGCCCACCCTGTTATCACGGTTTACAGAGCCGCACGGCAATCCCTCTCCACCTAGCCCCTCACCTAGCAGTGGGGCTAAGGCTGGGTGTGGGATTCGGCGATAAGGAAGCCATACACCTTTTATGCACAGACGAAAGGGAATGGACCTTCGTTTGCCTATCCCCGCAAATACGCTCTGTCATTACCTCCCTTAAGTCCACAGGCTGTGTCTGTTACCACCTGCTGACTTCCTGGAAACGTGTGAAAGTCTAGAAATGTATGTACACAGGGAGCTGCTTCTGGATCCCCTGAATATACTTTTAAACCCCCCAAACCAACTGAGAGCTTACTTCCTGTCCCTGCTAACAGAGACACTGCTAACACCGCTTGAAGGCAGGAACCTCAAAACTCACCTCAACGTCTAAACCCGTTCTGCGTAATGAATGGGCCGACTGCCAGATAAATTCTGCGTCTAAGCTGCGGAGGTCAGCGATGACAGACGGAAACCAACAAATGTCACTTAGTACTTTTTCTCCCCCTTCTTCTATTTAGCAAGAGATTTTGATGCTCTACCTGCTAGAAACTGGTTGGGAATAAAAGTCTAAACTCTACCGTGCCTCTAGGAAAAAATGTATTGGATGTATTCAAGAGTGAGAGGGGCAGGGGTTAACAAAACAGCTAATATAACTCAAATAATTTGACATTGATCAGCTCCCCGCCCCCAAAAAGGAGAAAGATAAAAGAGAGAATCAGGATATAAAATGTGGAAGGCCCACAAGAAAGGACTGATATCACAGACAGCTAGCCAAGGACATCCTCAGTAGGAAGCCACTATTTGTGCCTGAAGGAACGGGAATGATCTTACAGAGAAGTGGGCAAGAGCATTCCAGGCAGAAGAAGTGTTTGCACCAAGGTCCTGCAGCAGACTCCGGACAGCAGGTTGGAACATGAAGGAGGTGGAACCCACTGTTCGACATCAGGAATGGAAGAAAAAAAGAAGCAAGAAGAGTGGGGAGGAAGATCAGACAGACCCTCACTGCTAGACACACTCAGTGCTCCAGTGATGAAAAGCTACCCCCTCCCAAAGTTTCATTTATTCAAAACCCTAAAGGTTATTTCCCCAAGAATGTATACATCCATATTTCAAAAGAGAAACCTATGGGAGTGGAGGGGGAAAACCTTTGGGGATTAAAAAAAAAAGTTATGCATCAAGTTAACATGTTTGTCTGGGGGTAAATCCTAAACTTTTTTGAATACAAATGCCAGCTCTTCATGCGTTGACTACAAACCTCCAGAGCTGGGAGCAGGCATGACCAGAGTAAAGCAGCTATGCACCCTAGGGAACCACACACTCGGCGACACTGTATAAACCCAGCACCCTGGTCAAAAACGATAGCACGCAGTCATGGGAGACTGGAATATTGGTATTCACCATATGGGCATCTTTAAAAGTCTAACAAGGCTTCAAGATCTTTGGTAAACTTCAGAGCCATATACCAACTATACCTTCTCCCTGCCCAGCCAGCTTCTCAACCTAAGACACTATCAGTCAAGATCTACAGCACAGTTGTACCACAGCTGGGACGGTACCTTAAGATCTGCCATCTCCTCCCATCAATTTCACTGAGTCCCGATTAACCCAGTTTCATATTTGGTGTCAACAGTTTTCCATTAACCAATGTTCCTAAACAGCTCTAAGGCAGGGACGCTGCTCAAGTCTACGCAGTCGGTCACCAAGGTGACAGGTGTGGACTGCAGGGCATGGTCGGCAGCTTGTGTAACAGAAAGATTATATTATTAATGACTCATTAGCCACAGTCCTGCGCACTGAGCTTGCCCAAGGCCACTCCCACTATCTACCCACAAAATGGACAAATCTTTTTTTTTTTGGCTGGATCCCTTCCTCACTCCCCTGGGAATCTATCAGGGAATTAAAAGAAGCCCCGGAGGCTAACGTGATCAACCTAATAACCCACCTGGGAAGAAGGTCCTGAAACTTTAGAAAAGTCTCGAATGAGCAGTGAGGATGGGTTCTGAGAAGAAATTATAAAAACTGAGTGAGACAAAACAGAGCGGAGAAAATTATCATAGCTATTTCTTAGGATTTTCGGAAAGACACTTTGCATCTCTTTTAGTGGTGTCTGAAAGGCACAGATGAGTGAATGTTTGGAAACACTGGCTGACTGCCTGGGTTCCTGAGCTGAGCTTTAAGAGGCTCTCAGAGCATTGCTCTTGCAACGCCTAGAACTGAGCAGTCCGGTCCACTGCAGAAGGATGCTTCGGTCCTTCACTTGTCACAACCCAGTCTGCAGGGCTGAGGGTGGTGATATGCTCTACTACAAAACATTGTGAAGACACCGCAGGGCAAACTACAGCAGACCTTTCTGCCCTGACTCAACAGAAAAGCCAGTTATCCTGAAGAGGTCAGTGGCCATGCTTCCGTTTGCTCTCAAGCTGCCTTAAAAAGGTACAAACACGGGCAAAAAAAATTTTCTACGATGCATTTTTTTCAGCATCAACAAAGAAGTCTAAATAGCAAAAGTCTGTTTCCTCGCTGCGAGGTTCCATGACCATGTAGAATTTTCTGAGTGGTTGACCTGAGATTGTCTGAACATGCACTCACTCCTCCCTCCAGAGGTCAGCCCCATAGCAAGTTTGAGAGGAGAAGGACCAGACCATGTTTAATGCAAAAGTAAGTCTTCTTCTGCCTAGGAAGCTTCTGGCCAGAA